TTGAGGTTTTGGTGGACTGGAAGCACCAACCCTGCTGGGGTTCAGTCATCTTTCTCTGTGAAGTTCAGGAAAAAGCAGCACATGCAAGGCCCCCTTGATAGATAAGAAATAAGAATACTACTTTATTTTCATTTGTATACATGCCTAATTTCTCAGTGCAGAACTCTCTTTTTAGGGCAAGCAGCCACCATGGAAACTCTCCAAAAGAATTCCTTTCTTCCATGAAGCACCCAAATCATCCCACACTAGACAGGAAATGAAAGCAATAAAAGAGTATGATTGGCTCAGACTGGAAATAAAGATGGACATATGCCAAGAGGAGGCCTTTGCCCACTTTACCTATTCCTGGCTATGCGAAATAGAAGAGAAAGCTGAATGAAGGTCCCTAACCCAGTTCTCATTACACATGGGCCAATTAATTTCCTGGGTTTGATCAATCTACTCAACAACTAGGCCTTGGGCTGGGAATGTGACTTAGTGGTAGAGTACTTGCCTAACATGCATGAAGCCCTGGGTTCAATTCCTCAGTACCACATGAACAGAAAAAGCTTGAAGTGGCACTGTGGTTCAAGTGGTAGAGTGCTAGCCTTGAGCAAAAGAAGCCCAGGCCCTGAGTTCAAGCAAAACAAAACAAAACAACAACAAAATAAAAAACAACTAGGCTATGGGAAATGCAAAGATTGGAGAAGGGGAGATATAGAGATGGATGACTTTTCTTTCTTTTTGTTGGTCATGGGGCTTGCACTCTGTGCCTGGGTGCTCTCCCTTAGCTTTTAGTTCAAGGTCAGCACTCTACCACTAGAGGCACAGCGCCACTTCCAGTTTTCTGGTGGTTTATTGGAGATAAGAGTCTCACAAACAGGCTGGGAAGGTGGCTCAGTGGTAGAGCACTTGCCTTGCATGCCTGAGGCCCTGGGTTCGATTCCTCAGCACCACATAAGCAAAAAGAAAAAAGCCGGAAGTGGCGCTGTGGCTCAAGTGGTAGAGTGCTAGCCTTGAGCTGAAGAGCTGAGGGACAGCACCCAGACCCAGAGTTCAGGCCCCACGACCGGACTCAAAAAAAAAAAAGAGTCTCACAGACATTCCTGCCCGGGGTTGGCTTTGAACCATGATCCTCAGATCTTAGCCTCTTGAGTAGCTAGGATTACAGCCGTGAGCTACTGGCACCTGGCTTTGGATGACTTTCCTCTGACAATTGTTTCCCTAATTTGGGCTATAGACCATCAGCATCAGCAACACCAGATAGTTTGCTAAAAAAAAATATGTAATCTTGAGCCACACCCTCAATTACTGGAATCAGAAAGCTATACTTTTTTTTTTTTATGATTGTCAGGCAACTCTTGCTGAAGTGTGAGAAGCATTGGGTTTCTGACTTCTAAATTCATGCTCAAATTTCCTGTCATTTGGATCTGGGCTCACTTCCTGAAATAGTTCTCTGCAATATGGTCAATAGCTAATGAAAGTATGTTGGAGAAATTCTCACTGATACTCATTTCCATTTGAAGGAAAGAGACCTTTTCTAAAAAGCTAGTACGTGCCAATAAGTGGCTTAGATAGAAAATAAAAACATACTAAAAACAAGCAATTCCACACTTATACACAGTTCTGTTGAGAGAGACAGATGGCTATAGTAACTCTTCTCACTCCATCTCCCCACCCATAACATTCCCTCCCTTATTCATTCATGTTTCCTTTCCGTATGAGCCAGTACTAAACTCTGATGTTGTACATCACACACAGGACAGTATACATTATTACATGCCTCTGTTAGCCCTGTCCTTTTGTCAGCCCAAATCTAAAAATGAGATACTCTACCAGTAAGACAAGACATGAAGGTAAAACAAGAAGCAATCTAGCACGTCTATACATCTTTTAAAGGACTGTGACTATTGGATTGTCATAACCCAATGCATTTCTCATTTTTTATATTACCAAATCCCAGGCTATCTATAGCCCTTTCTATCTAAACAACTTTACTTAGGTAAAGTTCACTTAAGTTTTCACTTTTACTTGAGAATGAAAACTCAGAGGAAGGCCAGGCGTTAGTGGCTCATGCTTGTACTCCTTGCTAATCAAGAGGCTGTGATCTGAGGTTCATGGTTTGAAGCCAGCTCAAGCAGGAGACGCTTATCTCCAATTAACTACCAAATGCAAAAAGCAGAAGTGTGGCTCAGTGGCTCAATGGTAGAACACCAGCCTTGAAAAAAAAATAATGAAATAAAAAGTTAAACAAGAGCCAAAGGCTCTGAATTCAAGTCCTAGTATCGGCACAAAAAAGTTGCCATCTTTTGAGAACTTAATACGTGTTTCATAGAACCTTATAAAAGTAAGGAGCATCCATCACTGAAAGTGAGAGGAAACCTGAGGTTGTCTGAAGTTGAATAACTTATCCAGGAAATAGCAAAGAATTCCAGCCCACACCCACCTCAAGTTCAAAGCCTCCTAGCCACTGAACTAATAGGATGTTTTGCTTGACATAGGCACCATAGTCTCACAGTGTAAGCAGAGATTTATCGTCCCTGTCTGGAGTAAATGGGAGGATTAAATGGGTTAAAGATGATAAAGCACTTAGAAATGGCAATAATATATGGGAAAACAATTTTATCCCTTAAAATAAAAAATATCAGTTAATTTAATATATATTTCTCATGTATCAAATTTAAAAGTATCTTTACATGTTTTACCTTTGATGTTAGTAAGGCTAATGTGAAACTGTACATGACTAACCAGATAATCAGAGCAGGTTAATATCTCCTTTTATTATTATAGTAATTATTATTATTTGGTGACAGTCCTGGGCTTGAACTCAGGGTCCTAGGCACTGTCCTTTAGCTTTTTTTGCTTAAGGCTACCACTCTATCACTTTGAGCTACAGCTCAACTTCCAGCTTTGTTTGGTGGCTTATTGAAGGTAAGAGTCTCATGGCCTTTACTGCCTGTGCTGGCTTCCAATCATAATCCTCAGATCTCATCCTTCTGACAAGTGAGGATTACAAAGCATGAGCCACCGGTGCTTTGCAGGATCTCATTTCTAAAAAGCAAGTTGACAAGACTTTCTTGAACTGAGTGTGTAGCCAGTGGTAGAGCGTTTGCCTTGCAAACCCTAATTCTGACACCCTTCACCTCCAGCTTGGCAAAAAAAAAAAAAAAAGAAAAGAAAAGGCCTTCTTAAAAACAGACATGATTTCAAATTAGGATAAAAATATGCAAATACAAAGAGTTAAGAAGCAGACATGATGGTGCACATCTGTAATCCTAGCACTCAGGAGATGGAGAGCAGAGTGTCGTTTGTGAAAATCCACGTTGCCTAGGTCTGGAATAGGGCCAGAGAATCACATATTGCTAAGCTGCCCAGCTGTTGCAGAGGCACACTTCTACACATTCTGCTTTAGGATATATTTTGGTTTGGCATCATAAAAGAAAGGTATGCCTTGGGCTGGGAAGGTGGCTCAGTGGTAGAGCACTTGCCTTGCATGCCTGAGGCCCTGAGTTCAATTCCTCAGCACCACATAAGCAAAAAGAAAAAAGCCAGAAGTGGCGCTGTCGCCCAAGTGGTAGAGCGCTAGCCTTTGAGCTGAAGAGCTGAGGGACAGCGCCCAGGCCCAGAGTTCAGGACCCACGACCGGACACCCCCCCCTCCCAAAAAAAAAGTAAGAAAGGAATGCCTGACTTCTTCACTGACTACAAAAGTCATCTTCATCCCAAAGTTCCCATAACTCATCTCAATCATTTTCCAGTATTTCTACGCAAAACATAAAGAAATCAATCAATAAATAAAATAAAACCACTAAGTCTTTAACACACCTTGAGATTTCAAATACCACCACTTCTTTGGAATGCCTTGTCATTTCCTGCTTATTTCCTTATGCCCAAATCTTACCCATCCTCACGGCCATAAAATGCTTTTCCTTCTGCAAAGCCCCCGCCCCTTCCCCTTCCCCGGTCGCTCTCCTCCCCAGCGCTGTACAGAGCTTTCTATTTCTCCATTCTCCGCCTGGTCCAGTGTGTCCCAACAGACTGGGCGCTACTTCATTCAGTACAAGGGGTAACTTGCCCATCTTCGCGTAGCAAATTTCCAGCAAGCCCTGAGCGTGGACTGAAACAGAGGAGGGAGCAACGGATCCCAGGAAGGGCGCGGAATGGTGTAATAATGGAAGTGGCCACCCCGGACCCGCCAAGCCCCACGACCGACCGGCAGTAACAGGTGTCTCCATCTCGGGAACCTGTGATTCCCGAGGCCAGGCTGCGCGCGCACGCACACTCCGGGGATTACAACGCCCCACACGCCGTCGTGCGCACAGCGTTCTAGGCGCCCCGGGGACACGCCACGGCCACAACCTGCATCCACAAACAACAACAACCGCGGCAGAGACGCCCTGTCCCCTCCAAAATAGCAATGTTTGTACGGCGAAGAGCGACAACAACAAAAAATTCCAGCTCGTGCACACTTCCCTGGCTCCCCACCGCACCTTCCCCCTTACTAAGAAATCTAGTGAGAATGAATCTGCATGCATCGCCAAGACCGATCCACCTTAACACACACACACACACACACACACACACACACACACACACACACACACACACACACACACACACAAGCGCGCGCGCGCGCGCGCGCACAGGCGCGCGCTCGCTCCCTTCCCCCATTCGTCCCTTTCCGACTAGGCGCGCCTCCCAGGCTGGATTGAATGGGAAAGGGCGCGGGGGGCCCCCTTTGTCATAAATACGCCGCGTTTTGGAGCAAGCCCAGCTTCTTCCGGGTCAGCGACGATCACCGCCACCCCAATCAGGCCCACGGTCCCCCCAAACCAAGAACCCCAGGGCGCGCGCGCTCGCGAGGGTCGGGTGTCTGCCGCCGGCAGGTTGCAGGAGGGGAGGAGGGCGGGGAAGAGGGCGGGCGCCCGGGAGTGGGGAGGGAGGGAGGGAGGGAGGCAGAGAGGGAGAGAGGGAGGTAGGGAGGGAAGCCATCCCGGGAGGAGGAGACAGCAGCCTCCGACAGCTGGGGAGGAGAATGGGAGCGCGGGGCCACGGGGCGCCGCGGGGTGTCACGGCCGCGGCGGAGCCAGCGAGGCGTGGGGCCAGCGCCCGCCGCTTTTAAAACCCGGGCGGGCGGGCGGATTGACCAGCGCTCGGGGCGCCCGGGGTGGCGGCCGAATGGAGAGGAAGAGCTCGGCGGCCGGGGCCAAGGGGAACCCGAGCCCGCCCGTGGTCGGTGAGGGGCAGCGGCCGCCGCCGCCACAGTGCGTCCCCGGAGGTGGTGGAGGGACTCCGGCGCGGGGCCCGGCTGGGGCGGCGGCCGAGCCCGCGGAGCTCATCCGGCGCGCACACGAGTTCAAGAGCCAAGGGGCGCAGTGCTACAAGGACAAGAAATTCCGCGAAGCCATCGGCAAATACCACCGGGCGCTGCTGGAGCTCAAGGGCTTGATGCCACCTCCCGGGGAGCGGGAGCGGGATTCGCGCCCAGCCTCGCCGGCTGGAGCCTCCAAACCCGGCCGCCTTTCGGAGGAGCAGAGCAAGACGGTGGAAGCCATCGAGATCGACTGCTACAACAGCTTGGCAGGTGAGCCGCGCCGCGCCGCGCCCCTCCTCCGCCCGCGCGCCCGCCCGCCTGCCCCGCGCGCCGCCCCATCGCGGGGCCTTGACCCTGGGCGGACGGTGGCAGGGACGGAGTCCCAGCCCAGGGCACACTCCGTGCAGCTTTGTGGAGGAGGGAGGGAAAAAGTGTGACTTTCAGGGTGACACCTCCTTAAGGCCAGAATCATCTCCCGTCCTTTTGCTTGCACACATCGTAAATCTTGCCTTGAAATGGCTGGGCAGGCAGAAGGCGATCCAGCTGGTCTGGCAAAGACGGGCTCCTGTTTGCCAGTGGACTTGAGTCCACAGACGTAGTAGTCGTACTCTGGGTGGGCCTCTGCATCCATCACTAGCCCTGCGTTTCCCTGTGGGTGGGTCTACTAACCTACCCGCTCTTCTCCCCCTACCCCCAACAAACAGCTCCCCCCGCATCCTTCCCCTAGTTCTCTGGCCCCCGCTAGCCAAGGGGAGTGTGCCACAATGCCTTCTTGCATCTTAAGCAAAATGGATTCCAAAATGTCACTTTCTTCTCTCTGAGCACTGCTGGAGCTCAGGTTGCCAGGTGAAAACCCATCTCCAAAGGTCCCTAGGAGTTGGGGTCTCAACCTGCTGCCTCATTCTTCCCGCCCAACTCAGGATTGGGGAAATCAGGGCTTCTGTTGGGCTTAGATGATGTATATTCCACAGTGCACTTTGGAGACAAGGTTAGAGTCCATAGTTAAAATATTTTAAACGTGTCTTCAAATGTCTTGTGTTGTTTGCTTTTTTCGCAGATGATTTAAAGTCTGTTAAAAAAAAAAAAAAAGGAAAAACTCTAGGTCTTTCTAAAGTCTTTTCCTGGAAGAAGATGGGCAGGGGGACATTGGCCTTGTATTTGAAAAAGAATTCTCCTATTAGATTTGGCAGAATTATGGGCATAGTTGAGCTACTCTGACCAAGTTAAAGACCATTTCTAGTTCCTTAACCCTTGAAGTTGCCTAAACTAGCTGTGGCCTGTTGAAGCTGAGTTGGGTCTAAGAGTGTGACTGGGTGTGGCAGGGAGGGTGGAGGTGTCTGGAGCCCAAGCACTTGGGGATGGAAATAAACACCGTTCCCCAGTGCAGATCTCCCTGTGAAATTTCTAGTAGTCCCAGCCTACCTCTGCTATCCCCAAAGCCCAGGTCTGTTACCATCTTTAATCAGGTAAAACCCAGACCACTTAGTACATGGCAAAGTAGTTTAGAAACTTAAAGGATGCATGGCAATAGGAAAGCAGCAGCAGTTTTAGAAATGATGGTAGCCATAATGGCACTACCAATAATAGCAGCAGCTAAAATGATGGTATAGCCAAAATGGAATTTTTGAACATTGATGTGATAGACCGGTTGACTTCTATTTCCTGTAAGTCTCTGGCATCCTGGCTGTTGTCTGGTGAATAGTAAAAGGGCAGAGTAGTGGTGGGTGGATAATGGAGTGATCTGGTGTTAGGGATGGAGCCTTATAGTCAGTGTTCTAAGACTACTCCACACCCCATTCTTTTGGCTCTTAGCCAGTGGCTAGCACTGACTGTTCTCCACCCCAGAAGTGGTTACATTTCCTTAGTGAAACTAAAGATGTGTCCTTGGGCAGGCCAGTCAAGTCAGGGTCAGGGTGGGGCCCAAGGTCTGGACAGCCCCTCCACTTCCATTCTTGCTCCATGAACACTTTTGGGGAGGGGAACCTTCAGTGGTAAGAGAATGGAAAGTAGATTTTTCTCCTCTGCTATCCTCTTCAGTGCCTACCACTTAATATTAATAATTTATTGTGTGTACTGTTAGGTATCTTACTGGCATACACTTCTTTTAAAATATAACCTATCTAAAAGAAACAGAACCATCCATTAAAAAGAGACATCCATTTTATAAAGGAAAACAAGAAGGGTACAGAGCCAGTCCACTTCAAAGTTAATGCTGTTGCCCTCACACTTTAATGCAGAAAGCATCCTCTGGGCCTTTGCCTCCTCGGAAGCTGGTCTCAGATGGTCTCCCAAATCCCACACTTGAGAGAATTCTTCATTTCTTAGCCATGGTAGCCAGGAGAAACAAATGCAGGACCTTGATTTAAAGTTCCAAAAGGGGTACATACTCCCAAATGTCACAGCTTCCATAATAAGGGAAAGAGTGACTGTAAACTGAACAATCTTGTCAAGGCCAAAGTCTGTATCTTGGTGCAGAAGATGCAGCAACTGGGAGGAAAGGTGGTTTCACACAGAAGGAAAAATCTAATTTTGACTTTCTTTGGGGTGAAAAGTAAAACCAGTTACATCTCTCTTGGAAGTCCTACCTAATAGAGTGAAGTATCTTTACTTACGAGATGGAAAAGTAAGAGAGAGATAGCTAAAATATGTGTTTTCCTTTTGAAAATAGCAAAACAGTCGAAGAAGTAAATACAAATTTCCCTTTCATTCATCACCTAAAGAAATCCATTGCATTGTTTTTTCCTATAAATGTAAAATATTTATAAACATATATATATATATATATATATAAAATTCTGTATCCTGCTTGTAATACTGCTTACCATTACATTACAAAGTCTGGTATTTTAGACTTATTAAAGTATTTTCATAAGACTTCTTTCTTTTTTTTAAGATTTTTTATAACGTGTATTAATTGTAAGTGGAAGTTTCAATGTCATTCTCTTACATTTATACAATAAATCTGATCACACTCACCCCTTCCATCTCTCTCCATCTCCACCGCCCTCCTTTTAGTTTTACATTTGTATTATTTTATTGTTTTTATAAGGTTGATGTACAGGGGGCGGTTACAGTTACCTAAGTCAGGAAATGAGTACATTTCTTTTTGGATAATGTCACCCTTCCCTTGCTTTCATGAGGCTTATTTCAAGTAAAAAATTTAAATGTGTATTTTCAGCTATCAATAGATAGTTAAGGGTTTTTTTTTTTTTTTTTTAATGCCAATCCTGAGGCTTGAACTCTCAGAGTCTGGATGCTGTCCCTGAGCTTTATTTTGCTCAAGGCTAGCACTCTACCTCTTGAGCCACAGCTGCATTTCCATCAATGGATAGGAAGAAAGGAGAGATGATCAGTAGCATTATTGTCAGAGTGGAATAGTGCAGCCTTGCCCATGAGATAGTCTTTTCCTTCATGGGCCTGCTCAAAGGAAGGAGAGCAGCAACTACAGGGACATTCTGGCAGAAAGGCAGCCAACCCTTCCATGGGCTACAGTGCCAGCTAAGCAGCTCAATGGGCTCTAGTTGGTAGCAGTCTGAAGATACCTTCCCCCCCCCCCCCCCCCCCCCGCAAGGCTTTATCCACATAGAGTGAAAGATTGGGATCAAGAAGGCACTTGAATTAGCCCAGAATACTTGGAGAATTAAGTTTTGTTGCTAAGAGCATCTGTGCTCCACACAAGAAGCTTCTGGAGGAAAATTAGCTTCAGTGGACCTTTATTCTTATCTGAAAACTTGCTGAAGAATAGCAAGGGGAGCAGCTGCAGTTTGATGGAGATGTTAGTCTAAAACCCATCTGGATGGCCTAGAGTCACTAGGTGTACACATGATTTGCTAAGTGCCCCATGCTATTGTCTGTTCTCATGTGGATTTCCTTGTTGTTTGGGAAGTATCTGGCCAAATTATTCAGGGCCTCTGCGTGAGATTTTGCATTTCTTTCTTCACTGGGAAATTCAAGGGAAGAGGTAGGACATACATTATTGCTTCAGAAAATTATATGGTTCAGATACATTGATTAGAAAAGCTATGTTGACCTGCCTGGGAAGACTTAGGAATCTGGTCCATATGGAGGATTCTTGTTGACCTTGAATGAGATACAAGACTCCTCTGGAGTCTTGGAAACTCTTGACATGGAAGAACCTTTCCTGCATGACTATGGTGGCCCCAACTGGAATACAACCCAAGAGATGTAACACATAATGCCTTTGTTGGTATTTTCAAATAATGGCTCTGGCTCAAATGCCAAAAGTGATGGTTGGATTCAAAGTCTAGACACTTGCACCTCTATCTTTGAAATACCTTGTGGCCTTTTGTTTCACCCCCATTTCCTATATATTTATAGCTAAATTTGGATGGGGCAGATAATATTCATTGGTCCCAGTTGAAGCTCCAATACTAGTATGTGAAATCCTGGGATGGTGCCCCCTGAAATCATAATATCCATCCATATACATCTTCATATGTATTTGTATACATATGTATATTTGTATATGGTTCTATATATAATACTATATATACACATCTATGTAGAAATGTATGTATATACACATATACATATGTGTGTATATATGTGAATATATATTTCTCATATGTATATATATACATATATATATATGTATATATATATATATATCCCTTTCCATTGTACTGAGGCTTTGGACCTCCAGCTTGCTAGGTAGGATCTGTACCACCTGGGCTACACCTCCAGCCCTGAAATCAGTTTTTATTAGTGCTTGTGGCTATATATTGAAGCTATGGGCTGGGCTCAGGGCCAGTTATATAATTTTCAGGGCCAATACAAAATGAAAATGTGGGACTCCTTGTTCCAAAAGCAGAGAAAACATGTCATTGCTGGTCCTACAAGTTAGCTGAGTATGGTGTTACATTCTTGTAATTCCAGCATTTTTTGGGAGGTTAGGTCAGGAAGATCTTGACTTCAAGGCCTATATAGCAAGTTCAGGTTTAACCTGGGCTACATAATAAGGCTCTATCTCAAAAAAAAAAATCAAAAAAAAGATAAAGCTTTTTTTTCTTTTTGGGGGGCTTTTTTATATTCTTTTTAAATTGCTATTTAGCATCATAAGAAAATTAAAAGTTTTATATTATTGGTATGAGCTTTGCTATTCATATATGATTCATGCAATGCCAGTTTTGTATGGAAATATGAAAGCATTAGTATGTGGAATCATAAAAATCATACAATTCAACCTCATAGCTCATACATGCATGAGTCACTGATTCCTACTAGAACAGTGACAGTGTTGTACAAAACAG